AGCGCAACAAAAGAAGAGAATTATTGGAAACTCGTTTGGCTGGCGCGGCCTTTTATTATTAATCTTAATGAATGTTAAACACTTTTATCAAAGGCCAGCAGGGGCGTGGCGGTGTGGAAGGGGCGGCGTACAGCACGCGTCATTATCAAATATTTTTGCTGTTTTTTCTTGCTGCCACAGCCGCATTTACGTCAGCAGATGGGCAGGTGGGGTTAAGGAGTGGAGTCTACTTTTGGTAAATATATATTCCTTAGTCTGATATACCAGTTGCCTGCTTTCCTAGCTTTGCTTTGCACCCTTCATATCGTTCGATCTGTCAATATTTGCAAGTCACTTTCTTGTTTGCCCTGCAAAAAACAAAAAAAACAAAAAACAATTTCAAAATAAATAAGAAAAATAAAGAAAATAAGCCTGTAGGAGAGCTGTCAGAAACAAATCTGAGTGGCTGGCTGGCTAGCTGGCTGGCTTGTTTCGAAGAGTCATTGACGCTCCGACGCTGAACTCAGCGCGAAAAGCAAAACGCTGTCAATATTTGTGCTCGGGCACTGGGTGTGACATTACTCATACGCACCATTGGCACGGCTGGCCGCATTAGAACCTGCAACCGGCTAATTAGCTGCCATATCCCAACTGCACAAACAGTAGGGCAGGGCAAATACGTATCGCAGTTTTTGTTTGCCCACTGATTGCCCCGATCGGTAGTTTGAAAGTAGTTCGCACCTGCCCGGATCCCCCATTGAATTTACATGGAAATCAAGGCTGTACGGATATTTACATAAATTGCCATTGCCATTGCCTTTGCCATTGCCTTAGCAGCGGATGAGTTGTCTTTTTTAAAGTCTGACCATCTCATCTTGGTACCGCCCTGCCTTCCTCCGTTCCGATCCATTCCGATCCTCTGTCCCATGCCTTGTATATTGAGTTGTTATGGCCAACGCCTTTGTTTGCCCTGCTCCATCTTGGCCGTTGTTTTAGTTGTTGTCGGCGTCGTGTGCGGCAGCTCCTGATGTTGTTTTTGGCCAGAGAGCCGGTTGGGCCCAAATAAACACTGAGCCCAGCAACTTACTTGGCTCTAAAGGCGACCCTGGGATGGGATTTGATAATAAATTTTCGGTTTTTGTTGGCAAAAAAGATAGAATTTCGAACAAAAATTTATAAACCTACTCCCTTGGTAAACTAAGTTATACTAACTAATAGTTTTTAGTACAACTTAAGGCTTATCACTTCAGGTTCTTAGCTTATACGAACCACTGTGACTTCCTCCGCCATTGCTGCTGTGCAGAGGGCCTGGGCCTTTGTCTCGATCTCACAGACCGGTGGAGAAAATTGTTCAATTACACAGAGAGGCAGAGGCTGGGGATCGAGACAAGGGCTACTTGGGTAGTCGGAGACCGTCCAACAACAGCGATTTGCATTTGCGGCGAATCGAAGCATCGTTCGGTCTAGATGCTACAACCAAAATGGAATGGGGTGGCACTGGCAAGACCGAACCCTTTTGCATCTCATAATTGCATGCGACTTGTTGCACGTTAAGCAAGTTAACACCCAAGTGCAGCAGCAGCTGCTCCCTGGCTGCAACTTTAATTATTTTCAGAGCGAATGGGATGGACGATGGCACGGTGAGCGGGATAGAGTCATTTTTTGAATAATGGCCGCCTGAAGAATGCCTTAAATTGGCCATCGATTTCATGAGACAGCCGAAACCTGCTCGTAGCATGAAGGGAAAATGGCCACCAGGCGAGCTCAAATTTTCCACCACTCAAAGATAAGACTCTGGGACCCCACTTGACAATCACTACGAGTACGACGACGATACGGGCGGTACGACGATATAGTTTTTAGCCCCATAGTTACTGCGTCAATCAATTAGCAGATAGGCCAAGCCCGTCGGAGGCGATCAGTCGATTGGCTTAGGTAAGGGTATGGTTTACATGGCAACAGCCTAAACGAACGAACGAACGGTAGTTAGATAGATCTACGTGCACGGAAAAAGCAATTAGCCATATCAGTTAAAAGTTGGATTATAAAATGTACATACACGTTTATAATTTTGGGCTGTAGAAATGTGTTTTATCGCCAGTCTTTGATTTAGTATACAACTTGATAAGTCTGCATAAGCTCTTATGGGTCTTAAAGGTTATTGCCTTAAATCAATATATTTATTAACATAATTAAAACCTTATTTCTCTCTGTGTATATACTCTAATCGATCGATCGGTCGATCGTGCCAGCCTTGCACGGCTAATATTGACTGAGACTGTCTAATTATAGCGCCCAGCCCGGGTTCAGACGGCTGTGTGCCTACGTGATAGTGTGTCTGTGTCACACGACCAGCCCGAGATCCCAATCCCAGTTACAGCGTGCCCGTGGGCCCACCACCCACTGGGGCGTCAGGTGGTGATAAGAAAAACCACTCAACCGCACAACTGCCGGCGAGCACAACAAAATAATTATTGATAAAAGCGACTCTACGCCTCTACATACGTTGCACAGGCAAACAACCCAGAGACGAGGTGCTGAAGAGAGAGAAAGAAAGAAAAAAACAAAATAATAATAATAAAAACTACAACGATTCATGGAAAATTTTTTCAACAACTCGCAGTTCATTGCTTCCCCCCTCCGATGAGCGGTGGGTGGTGGTTGGGTTGGGTGTTCTGTAAAAATAGCAATTTTTAGCAGGGAGTAGAGCGGCCGCATTCGTCATGGCACACGCAAAAAGTCATGCCCCTGCCAGCTACCTAGATATAATCTATTTACGTGTACGCTCTCCTAGCTATCACCATCATACATATATGCTATATATATATATATATATATACACATATATGCCCGATAAGGCCTGCTGACGCTTATGCCATATATATACCATATATAACCGTGGAGAGCACGGGTTTTGGATCTCATGATAAGACCGCGGCTAGGGACAACAACAGTGGGGTTGGGGGCGTTGGGCGGAACACAGTCACGCTCCTTGTGATAAGAACTTTGGGGGGGACTTGGTCAATTTCCCAAGTGTTATTGACTCGCTGCCAGGGAATGGCCCAGCACTCAAGTGGGCTCGACTGCCAAAGATAAACAAAGCGATCGCGAGGGGAGGTGTCTACAGGGTGGCCAGTGGGGTCAGGAGAAGTCATCAGATGATAGGATTTCAGGAATAACTTTGTTGTGAGGTCAAAAATATGCCTTTTGTGATTTTTATTAAAGAAATATAATTTTTAACATATTTTTTAAGCTTTCCAAAAGGAAATCTCAGCGTTATGATCATATTTTTACTCATTTTGAGGCTTCATTTTGGTTGCTATTAAAAAGTTAATACCCCAATTAGTTGCTTTTAAATTTGGTTTTTTATCTTTAGAAATGCTTCATTACAGACAATAATGGGTTTATAAACATTCGATTGATAGCTTCGTGCTTGAAGGGCTTAATAATAAATCAGTTCTCGTGGATTCCACAACTCTGTAAAATGACCAGAAAGTTACATCTCACTGTTGTCTTCTTGATAAATATATACCTAATTGGAAAGGTAAAAAACTTTATTAGTATATATACAAAATGATTTCTGAAAGATATAGTTTACAGGCTTACGCCCTGGTAGAGTTTACGAACATCGTGTGCGAGGCCATCGACAAGGATTTCGTGAAATTCGAGTATTGCCGCTTGAAGTCAGTCAACAGGACCTACAAATACTTCACCGTAAGGGCCAACCTCTTGCAGATTCCCGTCACAGAAGCCAAGGTGGGTCTGCAAACTAATATAACTTCATAATATTAGAAGGTTTAAATATTCCATTCAGGTGAATGCGGGACTTTATAAGCGATTAAGCACCTATAAACCTTTCTTCTACAACGTAACAATCGATGGCTGCAAATTCTTTAAAAATGTCAAGTTATATCCCGTTGCTAGCTCTGTCTATGATTTTTTCAAAGACGTTTCAAACTTAAACCACACCTGCCCGTATGATGTGAGTATCCTTCTATCCTATTTGAATGAATCAGAGACTTAAATCTTTAAACCTTTTTCAGCATGACATAATAGTGAATAAGCTGACAGCGGATAATTTTAATCACCGATTCAGCAATGTCCTGGATTTTCCGACAGGAGATTATATGTTTAAAGTTCGGTTTATAATATATAAAAATATTAGAGCCAAATTTCAATTGTATTTTTCACTTAAATAAACTTTCTAGTTTTATTTCTCATTAGCATATATTTCTTGGGTAATGGATGTATTTTTGGTAACACAAATTTTGGGGAAAAATTTAAAACGTATTTTAATAATCCATGCAAGCGAACCCATTTGCGATTAAAATCGTTTGCTTTCCATACCTCTAATACCTCTATTAGTTAATTGCCTTTAAAAGCTATGATTGCTTAATTTTGGACAATAATTAAACCTTAAACATTTTAATCGAAAGTGTCGTTCCTAAAAACACTAATACCAAATCGCTACTCGTAGATGCAACATCTCTACAAAATGTGCAAAATATTGCATTTTATTTTTGTCTTCCTGTTAAATATATATTTAATCAAAGAAGTAAAAAACTAAGTTAAGTATTTAAAAGACATCACAGTAAGTTCTACTTTTTAGGTGCACTCCATGGTAGAGTTTACTAACACCATCTGTGAGGCTGTGGACGAAGATTTCTTGACTTTCGAGTATTGCCTGTTGAAGTCCTTTAACCGAACCTACAAATACTTAACCATAAAAGTCAACCTCCTGCAAATTCCAGTGACTGATATTAAGGTATGACTTAGGAAATATAACTTTTCACTTAAAGTTTTCCAAACTCCAATCCAGGTGAATATGGCCCTTTATAAACGCTTGAGTACCTACAAGCCTTACTTCTACAACGTAACAGTTGATTGCTGCAAATTCTTAAAGAACGTTAAGCTATATCCCATTGCTAATTACGTCTACGATTTCTTTAAAGAATTTTCAAATATAAACCACTCCTGCCCCTACGATGTGAGTATACTCTTAATACTTGATTGACTTTCAGATTAAGATACATCCACTTTCAGCATGACCTTTTGGTGGATAAGCTGACATCAGCTCACTTTAATCACCGATTCAGCAATGTCCAGGCTTTTCCATTGGGAGACTATATGTTTAATGTGAATTGGATTCTTCATGGCCATATCCGGGCTAAGTTTCGATTGTACTTTACTCACAAGCGTATAAATTAAAGTAAATATAATATTCTTTACTTCTTTACAAATATTTACTATAACTACAACTATTAATTAAAACCTTTCCCAAACGACCTTAATGACTCCTTAAACAATAATTACCTTTGTGTGCCTTAAGTCACGTGGTGGCTCACATGACTTCCCAGAAATAGCCGCGTCTAGCTTAGTACGCCGCACTAAATAGATACCAGTCAGCGATACCCCTATCGATAATACTGCGGCAGCTGGGAACGAGCAGACCCACAGACCTAGATAGCCGAAGGCCCGCAGAACAAATGTGCCAAAGTCCGGCACAGAAAAGTGTCTGCCATAAAATCTAATAAAAAAAAAAAGCGAAAAACAAATTCAATTCTAAAAAACAAACTCTGTGCAATGCTGATTGTGCACATACACACACCGACACCCACATACACACGGCACTTGAAGAGTCCAGGAGTCACTATAAATGAATATTAATAATCCGAGAGCTACTAAAAATAAACCATCAATCATGAGGGCATTCGGATTAATCTAATCGCATCTAATGCGGCGTCTAAGTAAACAACTGGAGTACGGTCGCTAATTAGGCAGTTGAATGTCATAAAGCCAACAGGCACCAGCTCGAGGGGCTGTTGATTTCTTGGACGGACGACCCCAAAGCCATACCAAAACGATCCAAAGATCCGAGAGTCAAGAGCCAAGAGCCAAGAACCACTCGACTTGCTTATCAAGACAATTGAGCGGTTGACCTCGCGGTTACCGCTAATGTCTGGCGATTGATAAGGCAACTTGGCAAGGCAGTTCCGCCTTCTGTAAAGAACCCCTCGAAAACTGGAACCCTTGGCATCTGGTCTTCAGGAAGTCACCGCCCGGTGACAAATCTCGAGTGGCGAGTATTGAGTTCCGAGAAAAACGAAGCCGCTGATTAGTCAGATGGAGAGCGAAACCTGTCCCTGTTGACAGAGATCGAGATCCAAAGATCAATGAGCGAGAGTAGTATGTGCTTCTAGTGAAACGCTGATCGATTTCTGCTAAACGGAAATGGTTTTCCTTATTTTTTCTCTAGCCAACCCCCTTGCTTTTCACCCAGATGGTCTTTGTATTTTGTTTTTCTTTTTTTGGATCCCCGAGACGGGCGCTTGACCTTTGGTTTTGAAATAAGGCAAGTCTGGCACGAGAACGACGCTTCGCGCTAATGATGATTACCATAACGAATTCAGAGCTCGACTGATCAACTGACCGGCTGACTGATTAAATGACTGACTGACTGACTGTCTGTCTGACTAAATGACCGACTGACTGATCGATCGGTGCTTTTTTTTTTTTTTTTGCTTTACGGCACGAGCTGCCAGCACGAGCAGCACGCTCAATTGGGGCTGGGGCTCGTGTTGCTGATTGCCAGCGTACCGATCACCGACCGCTGACCGTTCCTCTTGCACCACCTCCTCTTTCTGACCACCCATCCCTCCTGCCCTGAGCCCCGCCCCTCAAAACGACGCCCTCTGATAATCATCTCGTGCGTCAGCAAAGCCCGAGCACTTTAGACTTGGAGCCGGTACTGGTCGGCCAGAGCCCATGATACGTCTGTGTGATGCCTTGGCTTGGCGTGCTCCCAAGTTGAAAATGCCTCCCAAAGTTGCCCCCCTCTGATATCACCAGCCACTGATCACTGATCAGCCTATTGACCATTCACTAAGCTGCAAATTACGCCTGGCATTTTTATAGATTTGAACTTTCTAATTACCCAAGTATGTATGAGTTTTTCCTTGGGTGGGCTGTTGTTTTTTCTCCTTTTTTTTTGCCTACACAAATTCTGCTGCGAACTTTAACCAATTAATTCTGCGGTATTCATCGTTGGTTAATGTATTCAGCGAGAGGCCTAAATTAATTTCGGGAAGTACTAAAACACCTCATTAGCTGAATATTCACATTCTATCTAACAAATTCACGTTCTCATTCATATTTATTTTCGCAGTTAAATTTTTAGTAAATGGAACAGAAAGTTAGATAATTAGTTACTAATTATCAAAGGTTTGGGATGTGGTTTAAAGAGCACTTAAGTTGATTATATTATTAAATATAAATGTAAAGCAAAAATGGTTAACTAAATCTTTAATCTATATTATAATCAATCCAGCACATTAATTTGAAAGCTAAAAACATAATACTATAATCAGTAGCTGCCTTGAATTACCCACTTTTTATCACAGCGTATTATTTATTTAACAAATATATAAAAAATCCAAAAAAAATAATATATTTTATTCTGCAAATACAGTTAAGTAAACACTAAGAGTAGGTGCCAAGTACATTTAAGCTGTCACGTTAGCCAGCAGTAATTTAATAAAAAAAAAAGCGAAGTACATTTTCGAAATGTTCGTTGTTTGCTGAGGCTATCGCCACTGTTTGCCAGTGGCAACTCGTGATAATTTGTGCACCGCCCGGTGGTGGCTCCGCATTCGAATTGGAAACGCCATTATGCTCCATTAACCCTCAGGTATACCCCTCTCCACTCTCTCTCACTCCAAAAGAAGAGGCGCTAGAACGATCGATCGTTTGATTGAAGTGTTCTGCGGGGGCAAGTGGGTTGACTGTTGGTTGGCGTGCGAAGCGTTTTCGCGATCAATTGCACGTCGCTCGGTTAAAAGCGCTCGGCATTCTATTGCCAGCTCGCTCGCTCCCGATTGGCCCCCATTTACTTTGCCGTTGACGCCGGCAGCGGCACGTGCCGCACAATCTTAGCGCGGTTCCATTGCTCTGGCCCGCTCCGCTGGCGATGCCCGCACTTCCCCTTACCAACGGAGCGGTCTCCGTTTCCATCGCCGCGTTGTTTGTTGTTTGCTCATGAGCTTTTGTTATTTTTCCACCCGTCGTTGACTCTTGCTCTGTCGCCATGCCGGATCGCCCGGCTCCAGTACCCTCCGCCGTAATCTTGTCTTCTGGTGTTGGGTACGCTGACCATACTGGATAACTCTCTGTTTCGGCATTACTCGGAGTTATCAGTGATGGACAAAATATTTTTTTTATTCTCTTACATTGAACATTTTTTTCACCTTTTCTTTGTTTTGGGTACATACATAGTTATATTACAAAATATTTTCAAAAATAATTTTTTATATATTAAATAAATAATTTTAATACTCTAGCAATCGGTCACACTCACATATATACCAAACAGTCACACTTACTAATCTATACAGTTAGTTTTAAGCACACAATTTTTTCATTTTCCTTACTCCTGCATAAAGATCATTCTAACGAACACTATGTGTGTCCCGTTCGCACTATCAGCAAATGTCACCAATACATGTAGAAACTAGGATAAGACAGAATAGGATAAAGTAAGAAAGAACAGAAAAGGAAGAAGGCCGAAGAAGAGCACACCACGTTCATTACGACGCCTACATTACTGAAGCTACGATTTTTTAATCACTTTCACAATTACTTGCCATCACTAGCACCGCAGACAGTGGAGTTTCAGACCGATTTTATGGAGCAGGCTCGTGTCGGGTTTTGCATGACACTTTTAATTTTAGCGCACCTTATTCGGGGCAGCAGCATTGTGCAATTTTCCCCCAAAACATTTCCCTTTCCCAGCATAAATATTTTCTTTTCATTTCGCTCCCCTTTCTTTTTGCTTGCGTAATTTGCGGGCTAAAGTGTCTTTATGTCCGTTACGTAAGCGTTGCATTGACTTTGGATCAAAATTCCAATTCAGTTGACATTGTGCATTTTTTTTCGAATTTTCTTTTTTGCTTTTATTTGTTGTGAATTGAGAAGTTATAGATCTGCAATTATAAAAGGGAGACGACACCCTACGCCGGGCTACAACGGCAGAAACTATAAACTAAAGACAGAAGATATATGACTATTGACCTATTTTCTGGATTATTTATATAATATTTTGATATTGCATAAATCGGGTGTAACATAGAGTACTGTGCTGAGTCGAAAGGTAAGGTTTTGTAACATAAATATAATTTAATCAAAAATAGTAATTGGATAAGATATTCTACAGATAAAATTACTTTTAAATAACCATAGTTTCATTTTACTTCAATTAATTTATATCAATATTAACTTGAATTGGAAGTCTATTATAGAATCTGATCTGATGTAATAGAAAATAGACATAACTAAACTGCGGTAATTACGTATCAAATGTGACACAATAGCCTACGTAATAATCAATAACAGAGCTAAATGCGCTTATTAATAACTACGGAAAGTACATAGCATTTAAGACTATCTCTAGCTATTTCCGCTACTATGAAATCCACTTAACAAACCAGCCGATATTGGTAAACAAATTCGACTTATTGAAAGAAAGAAAATTCACAGGTAAGTGCTTGGAAATTCGTCATAATACGGTTATCCCCAACTGAAAATGGTTCTTCGTATTTCACGAGTTCTTAAACGTTTTGGGTTCAATAATACTTTTACGTAAAACCAAGGCAAAAAGAAAGAAATGAAAAAAGACAAAAGCGTGACGCTTACACGCGCTCATTAAAGCCGACAGAAAAAAAACAGGCCAAAATGGAAGCAATTCCACTGGCCAGAAAAATAAGGGGCATCTTACGCAACCTTCTGCACTGACCATTTGACAACTTGGCTAGCAGAAAAAATTGTTGATACTTAAGATTGGTTGCGACACGCAGATCATACACAGCACGCGTTTGCGAAACACTGAATCAGGGTAAATAAAGACGCTTGAAGTTGTTGGCTTGTGGCAGTGAGTTTGCACTGGGCCATAATTACCAAAACGTGCCACGATTCGACGGATTTCTTCCAAGAATTCGATAGTTTAGAACCCAAACGCGTTTCGTCAGCTGCTAATCGAAGTTTAGTTGGCCAAATCAATCACTCTATAAGTACGAAAAAGTGATCTGAAACGAAAAGCAATTAGCTATTTATATACTTGGATATGGTTCCTTGTTAAAATTTAACTTTTATAGAAAAGTTTATAGTTGGTTTATTCATAAAACCTTAAAAGTTGAATAGAAAATATAAGAAAATATAGGCATTAGAATTCAAAA